TTATTATGTCTATGGAAGAATCTGTACAACATGTAGTTATGATGGCAATTCAAGAGGTCAGTTATTGTCTCCATTTCAGTTTGTACTGTGCATTAACTTTGCAAAATTATTTACCGGGCAAAAACATCTGTTTATGTTGTGAAAAATTGGTTGACATGGTGAACCTTTTTGTGTTTTGGTAACAGCTGATGACAGCTAAAGAAGGTGGCTTACCAGGAGGAGACAGTGAAATGTTCAAAGAACTAGAGATGCAGGTAAGGTCTCCCCTTAAATTTTGTCATTTTCTAAATTTATTCAATGTAACTTTAAACTGGATTATTCACAGAATGTTAGGTGGTTACCTGTGATGGGCTAGGAGAGGAGTTAGCAATACCCCCATGTACATGTAGCTGTTTCCTGTCATAAAAATTGGCCTCCTTAACCTTTTCCGTAATATATTATGGTATCATACAATAAAATAAATATGTGTTATCTGTTTAATATAACCAGCACAAGAGGACACTAGAACAACTGAGCAGTATTGCAGCTGAAAAGGAAGAACTCTCCCAGAGATGCCATGAATTGGATGAACAGGTAGATAAACAAAATTGCTTTTCTTCAGCACTGTACTCCAGGCATGTTGAAGGAATGTAACTCATCATTTTGAGCTTATAGGGCTGTAAGGGTTGGTCTAAACCTTCTTATTGACTTTGAATTGCAGTCATGTAACAGTGTACATGTAGTAGAATGAAGTGTTAAGTTTTGGGAACGTAGTGTTAAGTTTTAGGAGTCCTAAAGAATATTTTCCATAGTCCTCATATTCGGTTAATTGATCAACTGTGTATCTTTTTACTGTAACCAGTAGGAAAATTTTTTGTTGTCCTTTGCTCAAAAGAGGTCTTTTGAGAGCTTACATAGAGCTTAATGTTAATTGACAATTTAGCAGATTTAGTGCTAGAGGTTAATACATGATTTGTGTGTAAACATGTATTCGATGACAATTTGCTTTATTTGTTACTTTAATTTAATATCAGTTTAATAATCAACTCTATACACCAGGCAAAAGATTATCTGACGTAGTTTTAATTTTCTTAAAAAAACCATTCTCAGTTTTCTTGTTTGTCTTTTGATTCAGTTGTCCTTCATTAAAGAACATGAGGGTAGCTTACAATTGGAAAATGACAGACTTAGAGAAAAGTTAAGTCGGCGAGATGCAAGTGGTGACAGAGATGATGATATCAGGTAAACTAGCTCTAAATCCTTTTGTAAGTGGCATGGTTTTGTTTGGACATGTTTGAAGAGGCCTATTTGATGTATAGGTACATGTAGACTGGATTGGCATATTAGGGAAGAAGTCCAGCTTAGCAAAGGAGAGGTGGTTCACTTGATAGGGGGTATAAAAGTATGGATTGGGTTAAATGGCATTATCAAGAGAGCGATGGCACCTAATGGAGAGGGGATGTGTTAAAGAAGGAAGCCTAACAAAGGGGAGAGTAATTACTGGAAAGAGCCCTCAGTAATTCAGGGAGGGGCCCAGTGTAAGGGGTGCTGCTACTTAAGAGTGATAGAGAGAGGGTCTGTCATAGAAGGAATACAACTGATGCTGAGAGAGGACCCACCCTATATTTTCTATTAGACTGGGATTATTGGAAAGGGGCTTAAATCTGTCAGACAAGAAAGAGGTCATTATATTACAGAGGCACAGTGCTTTGTTGTTACATGTGAACATATATGTGATGTACAGTGTAAGGTCTGTAGTCAGTGGTGGTGTTGCAAAAAGTAAGAGCTCAACAGAGAATGGGCTTATTATAGAGGGAATTTAACTCCAGTGGTGGGAGGCATAACAGTCGGGATTATTGACAGGGTCTGTTTGAGAGAGGGAGTTGAGGAATTGGTGTAATTATAAGGAAAGAGCACTTAACAGAAAGTGCATTATGTTATTGTTAAGCTACTCTATTTGGGGTTAGTCTGTGATAAGGAGTGGCTTTGTGGGATGGGCAATGAAAAAATAGAGATCTATGTACATCTAATGTGAATTGTACACAGCTAAATGTAAGAAAATTGGAAGGAGCATTTCATAAATGATTCCCACTTGGTCATAACTTTGAAGTTCAGTATTCATTAATTAACTTGAAGGGTGAAAGTACATGTACAAAATAATGTTTTACATGTATGAGAATTTCAGCTTCAAGAATTAGGACATAACTTAATAGAATTTATTTTAATTACTGGACAGGTACAATCAACATTACTTATTTACTTTTGGGTTTACGCTGTATGTAGGTTCTTCTCTTAAACTTTCTGTTGTTTTAATATTAACTTGGTTGCCTTTACAAGATTATTCATTTTTAATGAGGTTACCTGCTGATAAATAAAGCCCCTCCTTTAATACAGTCAAAATAATTATAATTCTTATTAGTTTAAGTGTTGCTGTTTCCAGTGAGAATGTTTGGTACAAGGATCAGGTTTTAAAGACACTTTTATCATTTCTCTTGCTATTAAAATGGTCATTTTGTGCTCATACTGTAAATCATTATTTTACGCAATGTTAAATTAAATTTGTGAATATTGTCATTCCTAGTTTTTCCACTCAGAGACTGCACCAGCTTCAACAGCAGGTGGAGCAGCTTAAGGAAGAGAATTATGCTATGGAAACTTGTAAGTAAAACTGTAATAATTAATAAAATGCTATAATTGCAATTTAGCTATAGTACACCATAGAGATAGCTAAAGAAAGTTCATCTTGTAAAGAAACAAGTAAGCTACATTTACAAAATTAACAACCCATCCATGTATCGTTCGTCTTTGTGCTTCGGTAAGATCCAAAGAATTGAATGTTTTATTTTACATCTTGTTACTATGTACATAAATTGTACATTCATCAATATTTTGTTGTGAAAAGACTTTAATCTGTGTTTTGGTATAAAGAACTCTCATGTTTGATACAGGTTTTTGCCTAAAAAGGTGACAAACTGTATTTAGCTTTTGTACACATGTACCTTACAATTACATGTACATGTACATCTGATGCATGCATGCATACATGTACTGTTCAATTTAAACTTTAAATTTGTGATTAATGTTAGTAATGTCATGTTATGTGAAAAAACATCAGATTCAGAGAGGAGTACTTTTATTATTGGTTTTGTGACCTTTGGTGGATGCATAGTTAAGGTGATTCCCTAGTAAAAGAAACCGCTGTAGATTTCCAATGAAACTTGGTATGCTGTTGTTTAATACAGGACAAGGAGATATTAAAAACACAATAAGAAGAGGGGGTCACCGTGCTTGTTTTCACCCCACAATGCTGACATGCAAATACGGTTATTTAGGTGACTTTTGGTAATCTCTGTGCGCAACAATTAAGCTCAATTATTTTTCAATGCAGCGTGTTATATCACACAGAGTTTAACTTTCTTTGATTGTTTATTCTTCTACGTCCCAGAAAAAATGCCTTCAAATACGCTGCAATTTTTTATCCTTTAAAGGAACATAATTTGGACATGTGCTGTTGGGCCCGTTATGTCTCCCCCTGTGGTATTTATTTCATTTGCCAAAAAAGTACATGTAGTCATAGATTTCTGCTAATTTTTTTCTCAGTTATTGAGGATATTGTTCTCATGGAAATTATGAAATAAAAAGTGGGGGTCACCGTGCTCGTTTAAGAGAAAAGGAGCATTTATTTCGCTATCGAGCTTAGTTTGAGGGAAATCTCTTACATTTTGTACACGCACACGTTCATGTATGTGCACTAGTGATGCAAAAATCGTGCGCAGTAGGGATGTGCAATGCAATACTAAGAATTATGTTCAGCTAGACATGTAGTTTTCTAATGTTAGATTGAAAATTTTGCTTCCTTTGATATATTGTACAGCAATATCATTCATTCAACATGTAATTTTACAAAATTAATGGTGCTTAATACTTGTACTAATTTCAGCGCGGGATGAGTTTAAAATCAAGTATGAGCAAATGGAAAGAGATGTGCTGCTATTAAATGAACGGGTATGGTACATTTGTCTCTCTCGCTATTTTAATTTATAGTCTTGCTCACTGAATACTCTTTTGTTTTCTGCACGATTTTTTTTATGCTGCCACCTGGGAATCATGTATTGTTTGTTTGCATGTTCTTTGTAACAACATTTATTCACAGGTTGTAATGTTCTGTGACTTGCTTTCTCTCCCAAGAATGAACAACTGCAGAGTTTGGCTGAAGAGTCTCAGATGCTAAAAGATGAAATGGATGTGTTGCGGCACTCTCAAGAGAAAGTGGTAGGTACATTATTTTGAGTAAAGCAATAATTATTAAAGGATAATCGTTGTATAAAAACAATAATGTACTTTGTATTATGCAGGTAATTTTTGATAACCCTTGAACTGGCTTGTCTTTGTTTATCAGATAAAATATGAGTCTACAATAGAACTCTACAAGAAAAAGTTAGGTAAGTTGAGAGAGAATATGGAATGTTGACGCGATGGACTTGCTATATGTACCCCTAGATTACTGACATTACAGGAAAAAAATATTAATAAAATAATGATCAGCATAATCTGAAAAAGACATGCAAAATCAAGCTGTATTTTTCACTTAAAGTACAATGTAATATTTAGTTCAACTAAAGACATTCAAATTAAACTTGTGCACTTGTACAAATCCTTTCTAAAGCTGCTAATTTCATTTGATCTTGCAGAGGAACTGTCAGACATGAGAAAACAGATGAAGGCACTGGAAGAGAAAAATGTGACATACATGAAAGAAACCATGAATTTACAAGAGGTACACACTACAAGCTTGTTTAAATGCACGAATAAATTCAGTTGAATCTTTCTTCAATAGATACTCTGGGGAAAAGCCAAGTGGCCACTTTAGGAAAGTGGTGTTAGGCCAAGGTTTGACTGAAGTTCAGCTAGGCTGTAACCTTTTTATGTTGAATTTTAAGAAATACTTTTGTGGTACAACATTGTACAACTTAACTGAATGTCATATGCAAAAAAAAAGAAAAATCTACTGGATTGTTTTATTAAAAGCTATTGTTTTGTAAGTTTTCCAATATAAATGAAAAGGAATGCTTGATCTCTTAAATGTTGAATATCCTAACAATTTGTGCAAACATGTACAAAGAGATACTTAACGTAATATAACAAACACAAAGACCATATTTTCCAAACATTGAGATCGAAGAGAGTCGAAAATACGATGCAGGCTTGAGTATTTCTGATGAACTTCAAGGTGTCTGGAAATGTGGGCAAACACTGTCTTGAGTTTTTTGATAGTCAAAGATCTTCTCGATCGAAACTTAAACTAAGGAGAAAACTGAGAAATAAAATCGTAAAAATCTAAGCTATTATATAAGGATCAGATATCCAAACACGTTCATGGCCATGATTTCCTTTGTTTAAACTCGACGAATTATCAATGAGTTCAGGAATTGTGGCAAATGGGCGATGGCACATCTAATAATAGCCTGTGAGCAGGCTCTGCACATGGCAAGAAAGAAGGGAAGGAAAGGGGAAGAATCTCCCTTTTTCCTTTCATTCTTTCTTTCCCTTCAAGGAGCCTAGTCGCAGGCTAAACCAATAACGAAAATACATGGACCTGCATTAACCAGAAAAATTAATGAATGAATGGTTGATTGAAATGTTCATGATTTTATTTAATGGTACATATAATTGTTTATGATGTTGATCTTGCCAAATATTTTGTTGTTAATAGGATCTTCGAAAAGCCAACTCACTGAAAACCCAAGTTGATACTTACAAGAAGCAGGTTAGCAATGAAACGTAAAATGATTTCTGTCAGTGATACTTGCATGACATTATACATGTTGGTTGGAGCTGTGGTATGAAAGCAGAGCTGTGTGTGGGTTTTAACCCTATCACTTTTCTCTCCTGTGTGGCATTTTTTTAAAACCTTTATCTTACAATCTTTTGGTGTAATTTTTACAGTGCATTGCAAGATGTGGCATGTAATGCTAAAACAAATACATGTAGGTCCAAATAGTATTTTTGATCAAACTGTCAGCAGTTTGATCTTTGCTGCCCTGAAATGCATTACATCATGTGTGTGTCCTGGAACTTTTTTGTAGAGGTGGCAATACAATTTCTATTTTAGTGACTTCAATTCACCTTCGCCCCACCCTCTTTTCATGTAGTGACTGATGTTTGATCTCATGGCATGCTTTTTATTCTGTTATTTTTAGGTTCACCAGCTGCAAGTTCAGGTCTCAGACTTGCAGAGGAGAGCTGACAAGGTACAGTGTAAATCACTCTGTGGAGGAATAACTTAGCATAATAAACACGTAAAGACTGGTCTAGAAGGAAACAGCTAATTTTGTTTCCCAAGAATCTAAATGTTTCTCGAGGCAGAGCAAAGGGAAACATTGAGACTTGAGAGAAACAGAAATAACTGGTTTCTTGAACGACCAAGTGATTTGTTATTAACAGTACAATGAAGACATTAAAAGAATTCATGTGCAAACGCTGTCAGCAGTCAACATTTAAGGGGAACTATGCACTGTTACCCTCTGCATCACAGATTTTGTCATGTTGTCCATTGGGAGACTTTGGAGGAAGCAATTTTATAGTTAAATGCCTGAACTTGTAAGAGCGCTTCTTGTTAGGGAAAAGAATTCATGATATGTTACAATTCAGGTTATTTATGGAGTACATTAAGAGCCTTGACCATGATTGAGAGTTTTGAGAACACATACCGATACTAGTCTCTGGTGATAGAGATACAGAGTCTAGCCTTTCTGTTTCCTACTTGGCTACATCTACATGTAGTGTTAAAGTAGTGTCACAGCTGAGTTGGAAAACCGTAGCCTATCCTAAACGTTTCACAATCATTTAATCAAAGGAGAACCCTTACTTGCCAATAATCAACTCATTTGAATTTTTTTTTTTGAAAACAGGCGGAGTTTGAGGCAAGGAAGGCGAAAGAGAAAGTCTCAAACCTAGACGGAGAAAATGAAGTAAGTTCTTTTTTTTCTCAGTAGAAAACCTTTCCACTGGGTATTAATAATGTCCATGTGTGAGATTCAGAATTGTTTATTCAAACATACATGCAACGATTAATAATAGTAGGAGGGAGGTGTATTTAATTTATTTATTTATTTATGTATTTTTTTGTTATAGCGTCTACGGCAAGAACGAGTTAAGTTAAAAGAGGAAAATGAGGAACTACAACTGGCTCAAGTAGCAGGTACTATACATGTGTATACTATGTTTGTACGTACAGCTGTAGTGCATTTGGTTGTGCTAGTTTCTGTGATGTGAAGCAAACGTAGTGGAGAAATCTATCTGTGTTTGTGAGTACTCCACTCCGAGAAGCAGATGATACCGCGGTAGTCTGTCCTCGGTTTTTTTATTCAGTGTTTTTCAGCCAAAACATTTGCTGGTACCCAGTTAGAGTCGACTATAGGTTCATGAGAGTGAAGTGCTTTGCCATGACTGCCAAAGAACAAATTACAAAGAACTTGACCAGGCTTGCTATGTAAAATGCATGCTTTACCCTTAAATGTTCAACAATACCCTGGAGTTTGAATTGTATTGATATTTAAGTTGAACATAGTGATTTTTAAAGGAACTTTATTTAATCATATTGGAAGTATATAAATGTATAGTTTGCTTTCAATGTTATTGTCACTTAGTTTGTTGGATATACATTTTTTGATTTATTCGTGTACATATTTTCAGGTTCTCCAATGCGTCAACTGTCCCCTGGTACCCCTCCTAGTGATGATTTTGACCTTGGCAGTTCTATGTCTCCAGAAGTGAAGTATGCAAGATGTTGAAAGTGTTTTTCAAGCTTGAATAAACAGATGTTTTCTTCGCATAGACTCATCTGTATTCCGCCACTTAAGAAACTGTATAGTGAATAGTCCAGTCCAATCCGATAAGTTTTTAGCCTGCGTATCAGTGAAGTGTGTTGTTTAGCGTATTAGCACAGTGTACATGTTGATGTAGTTAAGTTCATGTTTATGCAGTAAGGCACATTTCACAGGTAAAGACGAATGAATGTAGTTACCGTTATACAGGTCATGAGTTTCAGCTAGAGCGGGTTTCCATTGAATGCGGTAAAACCGAAACAAAAGTAATTGCTCTGGCCAATCTCAAAGGACACAGACAATCTATCTAGCCAATCAAAGCTCGAAGTATACACCTGTAGCTGACGTGAAGCGCGGGAAAACTTGTGCGAACGAGTCACGATCGGTTTTGGTTTTACTTCTGATTGGATGACAAAGTGGCGCGAGTTTTTTTAAACCAATCGCGTAGCGCAGTAATGTCTAACTAAAGCCAATGCAAATTGTTTTTGACACTCAAGTGAAAACCACTCCGCCTTGATATCGATTTTTTTTTTAATCACAGGGAGCGGATTCTCCGTCTGGAACATGAAAACAAGAAGCTTAAGGAACAGAAGGAAGGCGAACAAGAAGAACAGGTACTGAACTTCAAAGGATTTCATTTATCGGTTTGTTCTTTGGATGCAATATTTCTTTTCTTACTACTGTTTGTTGTAAAACTAAGAGGTCTGTTAATAAGAGAGGTCTCTATCTTGTTGTCAGAATCAACTTCTCCAGAGTCTTCTAAATGATGCCAATGAAAGGAAGGACCAGTTAGAGAAGGAAAACAGGTGAGTTAGGAACTCAAGCGTGGAACAGCACGGCAGAGAAATGAGTATTAAACGCTGTCGGTGAAAAACCTCTATCAGTTAGGGTATTTTTCTTATCTCAGCTTCCACTTTGTGGGTGTCCTTTGCGGACAGCTTTCTCGAGCGATCTCTTGATGTCACAGAAACGCCCAAACTTTCCGTCTCCTGTTTGCGTCTTTAGAGCGGAAAAACGTACTAAGCATGCGCGAGTTTTTACCGCACGCCAGGCTTAAAGTTTGAAAAAATCTTTTGATGGCGGGAATATCTTCCATCGTGTAAACTAAGAAGTTACAACCTTTATGTGCTTTGCCAATTTTCCCGGTCAGTGGCAACATTTTAACGTCACTAATGGAAAGCTGGTGTATTGATTTCGTGGGGAATCTATCAGTTTTTTTTTTCGGACAAAATAAACCTAAAGAAGGTTTGCGAACCCTTTATTTCCTCGCGGTATACAAGAAATTTCGGTGCAAAGACATTTTTTTTCCACAAACCCTCTTTACATATTGCATCCATATAAGCACACCACTGAATATATAAGCGAGAGAGGTTCGCAGCAGGCACGGCAGCCTTGTTTTCTTAACAGTGAAATGTCGAAGAAAATTCATGCTCGCCCAAGTATGAATAAGTCAACCGAGCGACATCCTCCCGTACCTTATTATCAGTCCGTCATTCTTTCCACCATTGCTTTTCCTGTTGCAGTCTGCATTTTTACCTGAGCCTGCAAGTAGGACCAGGGACGTGCAGAAAGCTTAAGCTCTAAAGTTTGCGTCAGATTGTGTGCTGATGCGGGCTATTGTCTGTTTTTAAACGATGATAATTACTCTCATCGCTGAAAAAATTTGCCAACAGAGAATTGAATCAGAAGCTGATGGAAGCCGAAAGCGAGCTCGATGACGTCAGGAATCAAAAGAGTGCTGGTGAGATGGACAAAGATACTGAACTTGGGAAAAAATACACGGATCACTTGTAAGTAGAACTGAAACTAGATCAAATTTTGAGGTATGTAGCTTATTTAGGAAGCTTACTTCCATGATCTCATGTATTCAGTTTGTCTGCAAACTGATTTTTCAAGCGGTCTTTGACTAAAGTACTCTTGCAGGGACAAACTCAAAGTGGCAAGCGAAGAATTGCAGAAAAAGAAGGCATACATTGACAGTTTAGAGCCAAAAGTGTCAAGCAGTGGTGAGTGAACTGTATGCTCAAATAAAAACTATTGAGCAATATATTTTCATGTTGTACTGTTTATCATGCTGTGGTAGGTGGCTCTAACTTTAAAGTCTGTGGATGAAACCCTAGTGTGTGACCATTCAAATGAAAGCTATTGAGCAGTACTTTCATGTGGTACTATTTATTATGCTGTACAAGTTGGTTCTAACTTTAAAGTCTGTGGATGAAACCCTTGCGTGTGACCATTCAAATGAAAGTTATTGAGCAGTATTTTCATGTGGTACTGTTTATTATGCTGTACAAGGTGGTTCTAACTTTTAAGTCTGGATGAAACCCCAGTGTGTGACCATTCAGATGAAAGCTATTGAGCAGTGCTTTTATTGCTTTTTTTGTTCTACCTTAGCTTTGCATTTGGAGATGAAAATTATAACTCTCCGCATAATTTTACTTGAGTCTATACGTGTGGTACAAAATTTTCCTAATAAATTGTTTGTTCGACAGCGTGTAGTAGTTATTTCTTTGTATTCTTGTGTTTCAGCGGAAAAAGTGAATGAGCTTCAGGAACTNACCCCGTTAAGCTCCTTTGACAGCTAATTCTTATGACAATCACGTTCAGTCTCAGAAGAAAATTGTTTAAGTCCTTGAGTCTACAGATTGCCTTAGACTTTCAAAGTAATGAGGCCATATTCGTATTCTCGGTAGTGGACTGGACCTAGCTTGCAATTGAGGCTCACGAGGGAGAATATCATTACAAAGAGATTGACTTCCCGCTAGCCTCACTTTCTAGCTAGTTTCAGTCCAATACCGAGAATAAGATGAATCATAGAAGGTGCAAAGCCATGTTATAATGAGTTATAATGTTTTTCCAGGGCATGCAGCTTCACAGGAAAGCTGCCGAGGAGAGGTTATCAGGGAACACAGGTGGAATGTCCTTCTTAGCTCGACAAAGACAAGCTTCCAGTCGCCGCTCTACACCGAATAGAACACAGCAAGCGAACGCTGTCTCTTCCAGGTCAGTACGGCATAAATAAAATAACTTGAGCCTGCAGTGGATCTTTTACTGGTCAGTGTAGTGGCTAGGTAACCCACATGTTTTTCGTCATGGTAACGTCTGGTGCTGGTGAACGCGGGAAATTTCCCAGATGTCGACCCAGCGTTACGCGTTTTATGACCTGCCTGTTTTCTAACCACCAGTCTGTTAAAGTTTGGCTCAATGTATTCTCTGCATGAAAAAGGAATTCTGCGAGATTCAAGCAATATCTGGTGTGACGTCTTTTCACTTTAAGTAATAATTATATCACACACAAAAGACTGTTTGACCACATTTCTAATACTGGAAAGAAGAGAGTTGGAAATTACGACGCGTAGCTGAGTTTTGACGGACTTCGAGGTGTTTGGAACACTCTCTTTAGTGTTTAATAAATTATATCTTCTCAATCGAAACTAGAACTAAGGAGAAAACGGGAAAATAAAATCGTTAAAATCTATGCTAATTAAGATCAGATACGGCCATAATTTCCTTTGTTTAAACTTGATGGATTATTGATGAGTTTAAGAAATCCCTTTCCTAACCTTGAAATCTTTTAGTTGATCTTCTCTTTGTAGTGTAACCAAGAACGCAAAATCGTTCTGGACTGACTTTCGTTGTTATTGTTTTGCAGGGACACATAGCACTAACATGATAAAAGGAATTTGTCGCAGTTTCCTCTTTTGTAAAAAATTTTATCGAGGACCTAACGGAAAAATTAGTAACTGCTGCCCTTTAGTTTCTTTGTCTCATAACTATGGCAGAATAACAATTGAGAAACCAGAGAAGGGTCTAGGCCAAACCAGTGAATAAAAGAACCTTTGTGTATAATCCTCTAATATCAAACGCAAAATTCTCATTACTTTTCAAATACATTTTATTTAATTCTCGTTAGGAGAATTAAGTTTTCAGTCAAGACGTCAAAAAGTTTTCACCAATCAATGATTTGACGTTTCCATGTCTTTCTTGGTTTGGCTAAGACCCGATTATTTATTTTTTTCTGACAAATGAGACGAACTAATACATGACAACGAATTAGAGAAGAAAACGTGAAATTTTTTTCTCTACTTTGAGTTTGCTCAGGGCAAAGAATAGTTAAATCAAAGCAAGAAGGGCGCATTTTGCTGTTCCTGGACATCGATTCGTGGTGTGGAGGATGGACACTGTAAACTGTAAAAGGCAACCTGGTACCATAGCCAGAGTTTTATTTTATGTATATATGCTTGTAGCAAGCCGAGAGGCTGAAAAGTTCGGATACATAGTTATTTTGAAACGAATAATGAATGTAAGATGGGCATAACTTGGAGTTTACCTGACATTTGCATTACACGAGATAGTTTCCTTGTAATTGCCAAGGACGTCGGTTACCTTCAGATAAACAGGTATTGATTTTGATTGGTTGATTAATTGGCTAATCAAAATGGATAATGACGTCACTGGACAAATTTCCCGGTAGTGCAGCAAGTCGCGCAACAACCTCGTTCCCAGGTTCCCTGGGAACGAGGTTGGTTGCGCACGCAGTAGCTGTCTTTGATAGTCGTGTGTCGCTCCAACATGAAAGATGCCTCAAGACGTCGTACAGGAGACCAAGAAAAGCGCGTTGAAAAACAACGTCATTACACGTATGACATGAGCTCAAAATTGAGCCTTCGTTTATTATGGTTTTAGGATGTAAAGCGAAGTCGTATTGCTATTGTTGTGTTAGTTTGTGCCATTTGAAATACTGTAAACTTCCGATAACAACGCAGCCCAAAAATAAGCCCTCACTCAACAACCCTAAGAAGACATCTCAGGCTCACTAATCCTTCCGGTAAAAAGCCCCCTCCCCCCGCCCCCCTCCGGAATATACTATTTTGTGTCTAGATTTACGTTAGGAAAAGTGAAATCTCATACGATGATAAGCTTACTATTGAAGGGTGATGTTGTCTTTTGTGCCATTACATCTTATTTAGCTAATATAGAACTTGCATTATGTTCACACCATGTTGTTTATAGCTATTTACCATGCGTCATTCTTGTATGCACCGAAACGTTTTCAAGCGGAACATCCCTTCCCAAAATGAAGCGCCAAGTTCCATCCGGAACCCCCCCCCCCCCTTCCTCACTTCCTACCCGCCCCCTCAATCAAAAAAGTCATTTTGAATAAATTTAAGCCCAGATCTTACACTAGCTATACGGAATTATTCGCTCTTAGAGGTTAACATTAATTTCGGTAATGTCATGTACTGAGGAATATTAATGCTGCTTATGCCGCGCGTAATGTTTGTGATTGCGAAAGCGTACACGAAATTCAAACTGATTTGTAAAATGTTCGGGAAAAGGATTTAATGGCATTTTTGTATAGTCAATATTTTACTTTAATATAAATTATTATTTCTTATTTCCCTTGGAGCTGTTTGTTTAATAGTGTATCCCCAAAGAATATTAAAACCTAGCCCTGCTTTAGAAAGTAAGTTGCGAAATTTATTAACGAGAGCTTTCTTACAATTGGGGCTCGCGCTTTGAGTAGTGAAGTGTTAAGTTTAATTTACCTTTACCGCTCTTAAAATTATTAAACATGGTTGCCATGGGTCAAAAAAAAAAAAAGGAAATAAATTTAATGTCACGGACAACTCGAGGAATTTAGTTTCCGGTCGGGGAAACTTTGAATTTCTCGTCAAATTTATAACGATTTCTATTCTACGTTTTCTGCAGGTTTTGAAAATAAGTTTTGGTAGAGATCGTCTTTACCTATCCCACTTACGGCTTTTGAAGATTTTCTTATGCAAAACAGTTATTGGAAATTCAAAGCGTTGGTAAACTGGCAATTTTTCACTTGATCAGTCTTCTATGGTCAATGCAAATTGTTTTGTGAGCCGTGAAAAGTGGTGGTATTCGTGGTTTCTCGTATGGCAACGTTGTTAGGTGGTTCAGTCACAGCAGTGTCAGTTTTGAGTCGGTGGGAAACTTAACGTCGAATTGTTTTCGCAGAAAGCTAGTTAGGTCTTATTCAAACTGAAACTAACCCCTTTAAAACAGTTATATTTAGCTTTAGTTAAGGCAGGCTCTTGGTTAAGGAAATTAAGTACACCATATGAATAACCGGGAGGTCATCTGTATGTAAACGGCTTCTAATAGCGTGTTATATCGTTGGTGTACAACTTTATTTTTGTAAATGAGTCAAATATCCCTTACGCTAGTAAATGAAATGCGTACCAACCTTACGTTGCAGTTTCTTCTTTTAGTAGATAGACATTTCTCTGCAAGATATATTTTACAAGGGACTGTGTACATACTAGCCTGTCTGCATTGGGGACGGTTGGGTTTATCTAAGTTTTGGACAAGATCAAAACCAACAGGATATGTATTCAAGAGTACCGTGAACATGATTTTTGATTCTGCAGTTGCGGTAACGTGTTTAGTTCCGAGGCAGTAAAGTAACATGGATTTTGATGTAGCGAAAGTGCTGACTTGTCCTGAACAATATGAATCCCATGGGAAATGTAAACAAAGGTTCCTAGCTTGACAGTAAAATCAGTCGATTTATGATCTATGCAGAAACGCTTTCTGGTCTAAGTGCGAAACAATTATAAATTATTGTAACTGGTTTGGACCCAGGAGTATCAGTAGTTCGTATAATGTGATCGTCCGGGTGAGGGTAGTTCTTAAAAGAATAGGCCCTTTGCACGATCCGGTCACATGGTACAAAAACACACATGCTGGTGAGCAAGCTGCGCAGTGGGACTTCCAAAACAATGCAACTCGCACCAGTCCACCTGGACCCGCCTTTGGTTTGGAAGTCCCACTGCGCAACTTGCTCACCAGCCTGTGTGATTTTGTACCATGTGACCGGATCGTGCAAAGGGCGTATTGTTGCTGGTGACTGACGTTTCGACAACCTGAGCAATCTCATTCCAAGAAAATTCGTTCCCCTTGACCAGCGGTCGGAAAACGAGAGCTCTGGGAGCAACCATTTCAGGCATGCGCCATAGATGCAGACTGCGCAGTGAAACCGGATGGCCAGAATCACCAGAATTCGGTTATTTCATAATGGTTGCTCCCTGAGCTCTCGTTTTCCGACCGCTGGTCGAGGGGAACGAAGACTCTGGGAACGAGATTGCAACCTGAGCGGAAGTCATCTTCAGAGTCAAGTGAATAGTGTTTGTCATTCGATGATGTTATAAGTCTGGTCCGTTGAACGTGATTGGTCAGTTTAGCCATGATGGTATTGGCTTGAAGACTCGTGTAAAGTTTGTCATCAGTCACTGGTGGGTTTCAATCCGTCTATTGTTGGTCAAATTGGTCGGTTTTTTGGTCCGTCTATTGTTAGTCAAATTTAGTCGGTTGCGCCTATTGTTAGTCTAATTAAGCCGAAATCGCGTTAGATCTGCCTGAGGAGCTGGCAAACAACAAAGAATACAACACAGCAACAGGTAAGTAGATTTTATTCACAAAATGTTAGAATAATTGACTTTTCAAGCAAAACCGTTGCATTCGGTCCGTGCACGGTTCGTCCACTCATTATTTTAAATTTTATAATCTATATTCAACAACAGTAAAAGCCAATGTAGTGTCTGATTTCAATTTTTTACTCCACATTCTACCAATACAGAACCTTGTTTTACCTGAAATACATATCGTTTTATTATATTTTAAATCAAAACCACTTTGCCTGATTAATGTAAATAAAAAAAACGTCAAAATCTACAAAAATTGCCAAAATTTAATAAATAATCATTACTTTACTTCTGCACTATGATAACAAGCGAAAAACAAACCAACTTCTGTTTTATCGTTTTTCGTTTTATATACAGATTTAAACAGAAAAATGAAAACGGCAATCGACTTCTGTTTTATCATTTTCTGTTTTTTTGCCCAAACTAAAACAAATAAACGAAAAACAAAAATCAACTTCCGTTTCATCGTTTCCTGTTTTTTTGGCCAAACTAAAACAAATAAACGAAAAACAAAAATAGAGTTCCCTTTTATCGTTTTCTGTTTTTTGCCCAAACTAAAACAAATAAACGAAAAACCAAAAATCAACTTTCCTTTCATCGTTTTTTGTTTTTTCCCCAAACTAAAACAAATAAACGAAAAACGAAAATCAACGTCCGTTTTATCGTTTTTTGTTTTTTCCCCAAACTAAAACAAATAAACGAAAAACGAAAATCAACGTCCGTTTTATCGTTTTTTGTTTTTTACCCAAACTAAAACAAATAAACGAAAAACAAAAATCAACTTCCCTTTTATCGTTTTTTCTTTTTTGCTCAAACGAAAACAAATAAATGAAAACGAAAACTCAACTTCCGGTTTATCATTTTTCGTTTTTTGCCCAAACTAAAACAAAAAAACGAAAAACAAAAATCAACTTCCGTTTTATCGTTTTTCGTTTTTCGTTTTTTGCCCAAACTAAAACAAACAAACGAAAAACAAAAATCAACATCCGTTTTATCGTTTTTCGTTTTTTGCCCGAACTAAAACAAAAAAACGAAAATCAAAAATCAACGTCCGTTTTATCGTTTTTCGTTTTTTGCCCAAACTAAAACAAAAAAACGAAAAACAAAAATGGACTTCCGTTTTATCGTTTTTCGTTT